GATTGGTTAGGCATGCTTTTCCATCTATTTCCATCACTCCAATTTTGCTGTGTGCTCTGGTTACTGTATTTCCCTTGCCCCTTCTTCTTCTCTTCATATTTGTTCCTCACAATTAGGGCTTCATTATTCTTATTCTCAATAAGTGAAGCTTTATCCATGATCTCAGCCAAAGTCCTTGCAGAGTAGAGTTTCAATTCAGCCCTGAATAGTGGTCTGAATTGAAGACCTTTTAAAAACACTCCTTTCAAAACCTCTTCAGAAAAATGGCTCTGTGAAGCAATAACAACCTCAAATTTATCTCTGTACTCTTTTATGGTCCCTTTTTGCTTTAAACTGAATAGTGGTCCCAACGGATCTTGCACTAACTCAGGTTGGAATCGTTTAGTCAAATCCCTGGTAAACGACTCCCAATTCATGTGTTGAGCTTGTCCCTCCCACCACTGAAACAAGCTCAAGGCCTGGTCCTCCATCGCTATCACTGCTACGTCGATTTTATCCTCTTCCTCGGTATGATTCAATCTGAAATACCGGTTCATCCTTACTAACCATCCAAACGCATCTTCGCCACTGAAAATAGGTAAATCTATTTTCCTTCCTGCAGTAGGACGACATCTGTGGTTTCTATGACGATCACGATCATCATGAGTATCGTCACGATCAGAATTAGTACCTGAGTCTTCAATACCTCCCGTTCGCCTCGCATGTCTGCGGTGAGAAGAACGATGCGATGTACTAGAGTGATGTGATTGGCTACGCGATCGATCTGACATTCTCCTCTGAATATCGGCGATGCTGGCTTGCATCGCAGACATCATTGCGTGCATATCACGCCGATTCCTTTCAGTATTAGCTTGGTACTCCCTTTGATTCATCTCCATGTTCAATTGCATCTCCCTTTTATTCCGTTCCATCTCTGTCAGTCTTCCTTCCATTTTCGCACGAGTTAAGATCATTCAGCGATCACACGTGCTCTGATACCACTGATAGAGTAACGTAGTAATACAAGAGGAATGAACAGTAAAGCTAGCTTCAGAAAACAGTAAGTTTCATTAATGGAGGTATACCGTACAATCCAGTCCCAAAGAGAAGAGAACTATTCTCTAATCTTCCCAGTCCCAATGCCAAAGCATCAAACAGCCTGCCCCTCCCGCCTAAGTTTATTCTATTTATATCCTTTCAGTCACAGCTGAAGCTAGTTATTATTAAGAACGGACAACACTAATAATAACTAACTACTACTTTCTTCTAGAATAAACTTGGCCAAATCTATTATTAGTATTAATAGTCGAGTCTCTATCAGCAACCCCCGGGGACAAATGTGAGCCGGTTTCCGGATTTCAACCTTGAGGACAAGGTTATTTTGAAGGAGGATGGATTGATAGAGAGCGGGAAGAGCATGGGGCGGGACCGGGCTTAGGCCCACTTCCGTGGGCCGGGTTAGGGCCGTCATTAAAGTTTTTATTATTATTATTAAGTTAATGCTATGTTTTACTTTGGGCCTATTATTAGTAGAGTACTTAGTAGAGTACTTAGTAGAGTTATTATGGGCTTAATTAGGATTTAATTAATTTGGGCTTGATTAGGGTTTCTCTTAGAAGGCTATTTTATACCCCTTGCCAGGGTTCATTCTATCGTATCTTGGAATAAAATTGGTTTTAGCCTTTTGGCTCTAGGCAACGGTATTTTTATCGTTGATTATCTGGGCAACGGTTTACCCCGTTGATTTTAGTTTTCTGTTACACAACATAATCACTCGACGCCTCTCTCCCCAAACTTCTCCATGTCTTGATCGGTATGCCATCTGGACTCACTGCTTTCTTTCGCTCCATCTTTCTTAGAGCCTCTTTAACTTGTGTCGTTTGGATCCTTCTTACAAAATACCGGTTCACCATAAAATTGGTGTAGTCAAATCACCATTATCTTGTGCTTTATTCTTGTTGAACAAGGTATCAATGTAAGACCTCCACCTCTCTTTTATTTTCCCGTCCTTCATTAGTATCTTTTGATCGGCATCCTTCACATACTTAGTTTTCCCGTTCTACTATCATGAAGACGAGCAAGTCTACAAATATATTGATGGTTCTCTGATACAGGTAAAAGTCTAGAGGGGGGGGGGGGGGTGAATAGACTTTTAAAGCTTTTTCAACTTTAAAAACTTTTCCCTGCTAGATAGGATGATCTACAATATTTTGGAAGATTGTAGATGCACAGCGGAAGTCTTGACCTTTAAATAAACAATGTATAATGACTTTCTGTGTTTGAGTGAAGTATGGACGTATTTGAGTGAGCAGTTGACTGGGCAGCTGAGTGAACTGCAGGGAATTGCTGAGTCAACTGCTTAAGGAAAGATGAAGGTATGACAAAGCTTTTTATGGAATCTTACTCAGAATGATGAGAGCTTTCTGGTAATGTTCTGAGCTGTGTTGGAAGTGGAAGTTTATGAGAGCAGTGGTCTGAGCAGTTGGGTGGTCACCAGGGAACTGCTGAGTCAACTAGGGAACTGTTGAGTGAACTGCTTGATAAAAGATGAAGATATGAGAAAGTTGATTGTAAAATCTTACATAGAATGATGAGAGCTTTCTGGAAATGTGCTGAGCTGAGTTGAAGTGGAGATTTATGGGACCAGTGGCCTGAGTAGTTGGGTGGTTACCAGGGAACTGCTGAGGCACCTGTTGAGTTATAGAGTGATTCCCAAAAATATCTTTGAGCAAACTTCTTTGTAATGATGTATTGATGATCTTGTGATGTTGAAATGTTTCAAAGAAAGTATATGTGGGCAGTGGGTTGAGTCGTGGGGTAAAGTAAGGCAACTGCTTAGATAACTGCTGACAGCTAGCTTTATTACTCTAAGTGTTTGGTGTGTGCTTTGTTGACTGAAAGGAAATCAACACACAATATATCCTGGTTCAGAGGTGGTGTAATTCTCTTACGTCCGGTCCCGCCCTCTTTCAGATGGATTTCCACTAAAGTATTCAGCTCAATACACTTAGTGTCAATCTAGCCTTTACAACAAACTGGCCTAGATTGAAGGTGTTTCACTTTGGAGTACACACCACTCCAAGTTACTCTTTTTTTTTTGCCCGGAAATCCCACTGAGAGCGGGGAAAGCGCCGGGGAACACTTTCCATCCACTCCAAGTTACTCAATCCTTAGACTTTTCTCAATTAATCCAGTGGGGATCAAAAGGTACTCTATGTATATATCCACGCTTAGGACTTGATAACAAAATCCTGCTAAGTGTTTACAACTGTTTTATGATTTACAAGAAAACTGGTCTCCAACTAAGAACTAAACTTCCAGAGTATGCAATGAGAAATTCTAACTTGGAAGTTTAGTGAAACATGAGTCTAAGCAGAGAGCAAAGTTAAACATGCACTTTCTCTTTTGCTAGATATCTCTTGAATGCTTAGTAAGGTTTTCTCTACTTAGAAGACTCAAAAACTTACTTAGAACTCATGCTTCAGCCTATATTTATAGGCTTCTCTAGTTTGATTGATCTCATCCGTTGGTTAAGATGATTCAATCTCTGACGTTGAACGTGTTGACCTTTGTCTTCTTGTGCTGGAGCCGATCTTGGTGATTTCCTTTGTCTTTCTCTGATGAGCCGCTGAAAGATCACTTCAAGATCATTAAAATGATTTCATTGTGCGCGTCCCATGCTCCGGGTCCCATGTACAATTTAGCATTAAATACCTATCAAATTTTGTCTTCAATCATACACATGCAGTGTATATGATATGCGTACATTTTTTACCTTTTTGTGTTTAAATAAATATATACCGGTGAGATTTAAATATCCTTTTAAGGTAAATAAAAATTACCTTATTGCATTTTTTATATTTCCGGTATAATTTTATTAGTCACAAAAATTGTACATTGATTTTGTCACTTATGATTAATTTTGAACACTAACAGTCAAAGTAAATAATACACAATGTACAAGAGCAATGTATAGTGGCATCATCAAAATCTATCAAAATTGGGTACTAACATATATTTTTCTCCTTGAGTATAACTTTACATACGACTTGTTTTTCACTTCCACTTGTGCTTTCTTTATGACTTTCTTTGCTTGTCTTTTCGCCTCTTTGTAGTCCTCTGTTCTAATCGCTCCAACTTTTTGTAGCATTCCTTTTTGTTCTTTAGGGCTTGTTTCACATTACCATTCCACCAAGATGTGTCCTTTTTTTTGTGGTAGACATTCTTTAGTTTGTTCAAGTATCACCTTTGTCATTTTGTTAATTGTCAACTCCATTTATTACCACACATCCTCCACATGTGCATCATTATCAATACACCGTACATCACAAAACATTTTGTATATAAAGCTTTGTTCGAGATCCCCTCGAGCCTTCACCACGATATATTTAGTTCCATTTGTTGCTTAACCCGCAATATATGTTTCTTATCTCGAAAATCAAGCACAAGCATCCTATGTTGCGTGACAACACTCTCACCTAGGATAACCTTACAATCAGTGTGACTAGTTCTCCAAATAGTCCGTACTAAGAAATAGTCAATTTGGATACTAAATTAGCTATACTTCTATAGGTCACAAGGTGAGAATCTCATTTTTTGAATCAAGTGTTTATTATAGCCAACTCATACATAATTTCACCATGGATACTCTTATTAAAATTATCACGACTCAGACCCACATGTCCATCGAGGTTGCCTCCCCTGACACTCGTCAAACTACTTCCTTAAGATCTCCCCAAAATTGTTGAGCTATCTTTCTGACATATTTTAATATTTAATTTGATTTTATCCCCAAAATATTAATTACTTATCAAATGAACTACTTTTAAAGTGAATGCTGCCATGCACGATTGGGTTAACTAGTTCATTAATGTAAAAGTAATGCGGGAATTTTAACTGACATGCTTAACACATGTGACATTCCTTGAAGGCCTTGGCTTTTTATTTTCCTTTTAAAAGTTAGAGTGTGCAAATATGGCTTCAGTCCGACTATAAATTCGTACTAAAAATTATGTCCCAAGGTACATCTATATACTGCCGACGGGCACAGCAAAAGCTTCTTCTATCCATTCAGTGGCGTCCTGGAAGAACTTAAAGCTTTTTTGTCAGATATTTCATTGGCGGCACATCAAAAGGTGGTATGAAACTTAGCTTTTGTATTGTATTATATGCTTGTTGTTTGGAATAATACTTCTATTGAACGTCCTTTCCGGCCTTGGAGAAGCAGGGTGGCAAGTATAAAGGTGAACCACGCCTGTCATATGCTGAAGGGTGCAAGGATGTCGCGGTCTTAGAAGCGATGCTTGAATCCGGAAAGAGACATGGTGCCCCTGTCCAAGTTAAACACTTCTAACCTATTATTATTATTATTATTATTATTATTATTATTGACAAGTATTGTTTAGCTCTGGGTGGTGCTTGTTCCTTTCCATTGGTGGTTTTGTTTTATACTTACAAATGATTGTTCAAGTTTGTTGTGAATATGCTGAACAAAAACCTGCAAGAATAACACAGCTATAGTCGTGGCTCATTTATCAGTAGGGAAAATCGCATTTTTAGTCCCTAAAATAGTCATCATATTGAAATGTGTGAAATGTGAGACCTGTGTTCCCCAGTTTGTAAATGTCACCCCTCAATTGTCCAAATTATTGTAAATTTGGTCATTCTAGAGATGAAATATACAATGTGGGTGAGAAGTACATTTCACCTATCAAAGGACCACATTTACAACAATTTGGAAAATTGAGGGGTTACATTTACAATCTCAGAAATACGTGTCTGACATTTCAACATGGTGATTATTTCAGGGACTAAAAGTGCGATTTTCTCTAAGGCCCTTTATGTCAGAAAAGTGACATTTCAACTCCTTAGGCCCTTTATCAGTAATAGTAAAGAGTAATAGTAAAGAGCCTCAGGAGTGGTTTTTATAGAACAAACTTATGATGGTGAGAGGTTGGTGATCCGCGAATGTAGGAGGAAATTGCGGATCACCATGCATGTACACACATATGTTCGATGTTCCCTCACTTGGCCGTTCATTGAATGTTACAATAATATGGTTAAAATAATTTTAAAAAATAAAGGGCAAAATGGTTTTTCAAGTCTTGCTATATTTTTCGACTATCATGTCCTCAGACATGCCCGCATAGGCGGTGTGAATTTGCGATTTAGAACTACATGAGTGAAATCTCATTTCTGATAGAGGATTACTTTTCTCATTATCCTTTTACTCATAACAAAGGATTTTCCATATATATGGAGTAAGGAACTCTCCCCCCTACCCCATCGTAGGTGGGAGCCTTTGCGACACTGGGGTAAATGAAAATGAAATGATGGAGTAAGGAACTCGCTAAAACAAAGGAAAAACAATAGTTTTGTTTATTTGAAATACTTGAAACTTTTTCCAATAAATGTTAAGTTTTGTTTGAGGTGAAATTTTTCGTATTTGTATTTTTGTAATATTTGGATTTTGGATGTCATGGAGCATTATGTTCCACACTTCCACAACATGTTAGGCTCTATTGGAGTGTTGGCCGGATCAGACCGGAAAAATCAGAAGTGACCCAATCGGAAGATATTCGGTTTGGTTTTTGGTTTTCAAATATTGTAAATCTGGTTTTCGGTTCTGGTTAAAAGTCGGATTGTTTTGTTTTGCATTGGATTAAACCGATTTTGAACAGATAAACATACACAATTCTATTCAAAGAATACTCCCTACTTAGGCATCATATATCTTCAACTCCGTTCAGAAAATCCATGGATAGACTAGGGTTGGAATCGAGCCGGACTTGATCGAGCTTTTCTTTTGTTTCTTGAGGCCCGGAACCGGCCTGGGTAGCTACTGGTTTCGGGTCAGCCCGGTTACCTAATTTTTATTTTATTTTCTAATTACTTTCTCCCCCCACCCCCACACCCCAAATCGGGCAAACCCGTCCAAAACACCCAGCCCAACCCATTTACCAACCAAAATTTTTGAAAAACAAAAAAATTGGCCCGGCTGGACCGGTTCCTCTTTTGGTGACCCGGGGCTCACCTCGAAAACTGGTGGTTCGGGTATACTAGATCCGGCCTGGACCCGAGCTGGTGGGTCAGGTCGGTTCCGGTCCGGGTCACTTGGGAGGCTGCTACTTGGGACTTGGGAGCATCTGTGTGTGTTGGGTGTTTTTAAAATATACCCTAGTTAATTCTAGGGATGGATTCGGGCCGGGCCGGGATGGCCTGACCGGGATGGCCTGACCGGGCTTTTTTTGGGTTTGTTAAGACCCAGAACTGGCCCGGGTAACTACCGAGTCCGGTTCGGGCCCAGGCCGGGTACCTTTTTTATTTTTATTTTCTAATTACTTCCTACCCCCACCCCCAAACCCGTCCAAAACACCCAGCCCAACCCATTTACCAACCAAAGATTTTGAAAAGGAAAAAATGGCTTGAATCGGGCTCAGCCCGGCCGGTTCATTTTATTGCGACCTAGAGCCCGCCCCGAAAAATCCCGGGTCGGGTATAAAGCACCTGGCCCGGACCCAGGCCTCGGGTCGGGCCGGTTCGTAACAGTACCGGGCCGGACTGGTTTCGGTCCGGTTGACCCGGCCCGAGTCCATGCTTAGTTAATTCTGCCCAAGCCTCGCCCGCACACTATGCTCTATCTGCCTCCCAAGTCCCCCACCTATATCTTTTTAGAACCAATCTTCATTCTTCAGTTCTATAACAATTACTCCTTCCGTCTCGCTAACAATGGGACAAGACGGAGTGACACACAAATTAATAAAAAGTGCCTCCTTCCTCGAACTCCAGACTGAAAACGGGCCCTACAGGACCTACCTTATTGAAGGCTGAGTTTTCCGCTGAATTTTGTCATTTAGAAAACGCCTTGCACATGAGAAATGAGATGCCATAGGTACTTTTGCCTTCTGCCCTCGAAGTCTTCTCTGCTTTTGGAGACGTGGAAATATTGACAGTGTCTTAAGCACTCGCCTTCCGGGTAAAGGTGTAATCTGTGATTTGTATTGATTTATATTTTAGTTGTCTTCGGCTCTTAGGATCACCAATGGTTGAATATTTGTTTCAGACTGTTCAAGCTAGTCTTGCGGCGTCCAGGCGTGTGGAGGCTTTGAAGGCTGAATTGTCTGCATCCAGGAAATGCGAGGAGGAGGCGAAGGAAAAGCTCTCGGAGGTAGCCCAGTTGAAGCTCAGGTTGGAGGAGAAGGTAGCCTTCCAAGACTAGAAGATCGATGCTCTGACTGCAGAAGTGAAGACGAAGGCGTCCAAGATCAAGTTGTTGGAGGAATATGGGAGGAAGAAACGACAAGAAGTGGTCGATGCTGCTGGATACTACACGTGGCAGACAAGGAAAGATCTGATGGCAGAGTATCTTGACGGCGGAGCGAGCAATTGGAACCCCCGGGAGGACATCAACACCTGGGCTGAGCATTTCGAGTGGATGGAGCCTCCTGTTGGTGATGACGGTTTTGATCTTGGTGTTTGTGACAATGAAGCTACTTCTGAAGCTGTCCCCTGATCCTGGTTTATGTTTAAGTTAGCTCCAGACTCCTATTTTGTTTTTTTTTCTTTTTTCTGTCAACATTCAACCACGTCGACCGGTGGTTTATCCGGTGTCCGGTGGCTTTTGGCCGTTTTTGAATTGGTACTCTGACATTCTGGGATTCAGTTTCTGTTGTGTGCATGTGTAGTTGTGTTCATCTGTCTGTGCCTGTGCATTACCTTTGTTTGTGGACTAAGTATATCTGTTGTTTTGGCCAAAAACATGTAAGGCGCATGGGTTTGTTTTCCATATCTAATACATGAATGATCCAAGCGGAGCTTTCTATCCCTTTCTGTAGCAGGGGATGTGCATATGTGCCCTCAATAGGCGTGTCTAGCGCTTACAGCTGTTTGTGTTGATTTGTTTATCTTGTCGACATCCTGCATGTAACCATGTCGTCGGAACTTGGCCGCTGGCTCTCGGCCAACGACCCTCCGATGCTTAAGTTAGTATTTGATCAAGCGAACAATTTCCACAAAATCACTTTCATTTTAGAAAAAGTGGCTGTTAACTAGACAACATTGGATACTAAATAGATTTAGGGAAGTACCTGGTTTCGAAAGTCATTGACGGTAGATTCTTTGTTTAGAAGATACCTGTAATACTTTGTGGTCGACATCTGTTTTTTGGTTAAGTCGGCCGTTGGCTCCAAGCCAATGGCCCTCCGACGATCAAGTTAGTAAGCGAGTAAAGATAATTTCTATTACGTAAAATTAAATTAGAAATGAAAGAGTTTTAGATGTACCGCATTTCAGCTCCTCGGGCTTTGCTTACCGTCGGCAGACTCTAGACGATATGCCCCCTGTCCGATGATGTCGACGATCTGGTAGGGGCCTTCCCAATTGGGACTGAATTTACCACTAGCTTCGTTGCCGAATGACTTCCAGAGTACCCAATCGCCTTTCTTGAATACTCTGGCCCGAGCGTGTTTGTTGTAGCTTTTGCCACTTTTTGCCGATATGCCGCCATCTGTATTCTTGCCTTTTCCCTTAGTTCGTCGATGGTGTTAAGATCGTGCACTAACTCCACGTTGTTCCTTTCTTCTGTTATGAGTTCGTACCTTGATGATGGAACTTCTACTTTAGTTGGGATGACTGCCTCGCAGCCATATACCAGGGAGAAATGTGTCTGACCAGTTGCATTTTTTGGTGTCGTCCTATCTGCCCACAAAATCATGGGTAACTCTTCGGCCCATCTCCTTTGTGCCTTCTCAAGCCGCTTCTTCAAGTTTGCCACAATGATTTTGTTGCTTGATTCGGCCTGCCCATTTGATTGTGGATACATAGGCGTCGACATCACCAACTTGATGTTGTATGCTTCACAGAATCGTCTTGTTTTGAAACTGATGAACTGTGAGCCGTTGTCACACACAATCTCTGACGGGATACCTAGGCTCAAGATGTTCCTTTTGATAAAAGATATGACGTGGACGTCTCGAATTTGACGGAAAGGCTCGGCTTCGATCCACTTCGAGAAGTAGTCCGTCATTGCTAGCATGTAGACCTTCTGACCGGGTGCTTCGGGCAATTTTCCGACAATATCCATTCCCCATTTCATGAATGGCCATGACGACAATACTGGATGAAGCGCTTCTGGATGTTGGTGATGAATGGGTGCGTGCCTTTGACAATGTAGACATGTTCGAGTGTAGACGACAGCATCTTGCCTCATGGTTGGCCAATAATAGCCAAATCTCAGGGTCTTGTTGGAGAGGCTTCTGCCTGCAGCATGATTACCGCATTCTCCTTCATGGAGACTTTTGAGAACATCGTTGGCCTCATGTGAAGTTAAGCACCTTTGGTAAGGACCTGCCATTGAATGCTTAAACAACACGCCGTCGATTAGTAAGAATCTTGTTACCTTAGATAGGAGTGCTCTTGCTTCCCGTTTGTCGACTGGAAGAATGTTGTACTTCAAGTAGTCAATATATGGTTTCATCCAGTTGTTGTCTGAATCTGACTCGATGATGTTGACGGATTTG